CCGTCGGCGGATGGCCAACTTATGTTCGTTAATGCGGGTCCCAAGTCGTCGGCCGGTATGCCCAACATAAACGCTAGAGCAGTTTGAACATGGAATGCGGTAAATGACATTTGTTTGCTGCTCCTTCGGTATGGGGTCTTTTTCCCGGGATAATGTCATGCGCAATGAAGACGCCGGCTTGTGGGCGATTGAGATGCCGAATTGATTTAATTGTCGAGCGATCGCTTCAGAGGTTCTCGGCATGTAAGGCAGGGAATAGAATTTCCGTGATACCCTGTTTCCGTTAGAGTCGACCTTTTGTGATTGTTGCTGGCGTCTGAGATAATTTTTCACAAAGCTCGTCGGGTATCTGTTGAGTCGGAAAAAGCGATACAAGTAGGCCAGTTCTTTTTCGAGTAAATCGGCGCTACTGCAGTAACGATATGCCCTGTGGATAGGGTGCGTACACAGCATCTTTTATGGGCTGCTGGGTAGTTACTCTGATCGCTGAGGATGATCTCAACGTCAGAGCTTTTCCGATGAACGCTTGTTGCGATGCCACCGTCACTGAGCTTTTGTATGCTCACGTCTAGGAACGGGAGGGTGCCTCCTTTTGCATCTTCACGAGTGAATTTTAGGGCTGGGAAGGCGCCATTCAAGCTCTAGTGAAATCGTTCAACTTCACAGGTCTTAACGATGACAAATGTGTCATCTACGTATCTGAGCTACGTTTTTGGTTGGAAACTTTGTACAACATCTTGTTCTAGTCGTTCTCAGACTAGTTCTACAAGTAGCCCCGAAATTGGCGAACCCATTGGGGTGCCCTTAACCTGCTGGTAGTATTTGCCATCGAATTGGCAATAGTTATTGAGGCAGAGCTTAAGCAATTCTACAACGTGATGTGTTGGAAGGAAGTAGCGTAATTGGTGTACTTGCGGGTCTTGATTTTTTCAATTTTGCCGCCTGCCTCGTATTATAGACTTGCTGGACGCAGGAACTTTGACCTGCCTGTTTGCCGCTGACTGGCTTAGACCTCACCGAAGCTGACCACTGACAGGCCTGCGTGACCATTGTTCCCTTTGGGGTCGGCTTAATTGTGGTCAAATCAACGTGCCGCTTGGCCCGTCCCACGTCAGCCGGTGGACTGATCGGTCGTTCAGGTGAGCAGCATTCAGCTTCGCGGGCGCATCGGTGAGATAATGTTCGGCTTTGGTCACATGACCTCTGGCCCCCAATTCCGCTCTTTTCTGTGAGCGTTGACTCTCGGTCCCGCGTGCTTGCTTGCCTTAATGGTCCTGTCCGGACTAATCCGAGCCTCGTATGCAGTGCCTGGTAGGCGGGATGTAGATCTATAGCTCGGTTGAGTGTACCAGTCGAGGACCAACTTTTGAGCGCCTGTCTGGCCATCTTCTCACTGGCTCGACCTATTTCCCTCGCTTTTTTCAAAGGCAAAATTGTGGTTCAGTTCTCGTACGTGGCCATAGATCAAAGTCAGCTTGTCCTTGCGGTTGATTGCAAGTTGGTGTTTGTTCAGTCTTGTACCGAGGCGTTTGCCCGTTTCACCAACATACCTTGCATTGCAATTTAGGCATGGTATGCTGTAGGTCACCGCCGACTGTTCTGTTGGTAGAATCGGGTCTTTGGGCTTCAGGATCTACTGTCTGATTGGGAATTCTGGTTTATGAGCCACGCTGATACAAAAGGTTTCACGATTCTCGCAGTACACTCTGATACGTCCTTCACATAGAGCATTGAGTGCCAGCACTTGGGCTTTTCTCAGCTCGACCGCTCAAAATGAGGCTTTTTGAGGCAATTGCTTATGAAGGACCTCGGGTAGCCGTTGGCTTTAAAAAGGCCCTGTAAGTAATTCATCTCCGCCTTCCTCCCACTGTCGTCGCTACAGTGTGTTTGAACAGGTTGAAAGAGAGTTCTGACACAACTGCGTTTATGACCAACAGGGTGGTCGCTTCGGAAGTGGAGGATGCGCCTAGTATTTGTTGCCTTACGGTAAAACGTTGTCCTTTTCTTCCCTTCTGTCAAACTCGTAACTTGCACGTCCAGGAAGGGCAACTGATTGTTTACTTCCTCTTCCATAGTAAACTGAATGTCGGGGAATATTGAGTTCAACAATGTCTTGAAAGCCTTCACCGCGCTCCTTTTGATTACAACGAACGTGTCGTCGTCGTGTCTGGCCCAGAACGTCGGGGTGTACGAGCTGAAGACCTGCTGCTTGAGTCTCTGCGAAAGTGCTTCGGCAATTAGTGCAGACAGAGGCCAGCCCATCAGTGTCCCCTTTTGCTCGCAGATTTGGCCCTTGAGTGTAAAGAAGTTCTTAAGACAGAGTTCTAGGAGCTCGATGATTTGTGTTCGTTTGAGCTGTTGGTCGGTCTCATCATACCTTTCCCAGAGAAAGCCATTAACAGTGTCGATAGCCAGCACGGGTGGGATGGAGGTGAATAATGAGATCACGTCGACTGACACCATCCCCTCATCTGCTTCACCTCGAGATGTTGGATGCGATCAAGAACTCTTCAGCCGCCTTCAATGTCCACTCCGAATCCTTGGTATAAAACAACGTCGCTGGTACAGCCACTTTGACAGCCCAAAGGTTGGAGTACCACGTAAGGAGACGATGGGGCGTAGCGGCACCCCCTGCTTGTGGACCTTTGGTAGGCCGTAGAAGCGCGCCATCGTGGTATCACTGGCTTTTGCGGCCAACGCTTCCCTTCGCGTGAGATCTTCCGCCTTCCTCAGCTTGCCGATCGCATTGTTTATGATATTTACGAGCATCTTAAACCTGCCGACGATTGATGGCGCATAAGCTTCCTTGTCCATCAAGAGGTTGCCAAAATTTGTGCAGTACTCAGCCTTATCCATGACGACAGTCGAGCGCCCCTTGTCGGCGGGCAGGGTGACGATATCCTTCATTTTTCGTATCTTCAAATGGTCTCGATCTTCCGCCTTAGAAATCCTCATCTGGCGTTTGTGCCTCACACTTCTGGAGCGTCGATTCAAAGAATGCAATAAAGTCTTCTGGTTGAGCAACTCTTGCGTTGAACTTTGCGTCACAGGATAGAACCGCTAGTTGTAGCTGAGTGAAACGATAAGAGGATGAAAGATATCGCCAACCAGCCCGCCGACAGGTTGAAGTTACATGCGTACAACGTGTGTCTCTTGATGTCAGCGATGGAATGCAGATAAATATATCCCTTTAAACTGTTTTCTCACGGGCTATTTAACTTTTATTTAGGTTGCATCATACGCATTAACAAAGTACTTTGATATTCGCTACCGATCCGAGAAATACCTTAGAATAGTGGTGTAAATACAAAAAATAGATACAAATAATCAACCCGTATCCTTAGTATTATGCCAGACTGGATGCATCCGGTGAGATTAACGCGTTCACTTTCTTCTGCCTGCCACGCGCTTTCGGCCTTCATTGTCCATTGATATCTCCTGAGAACGAGCAAAGATACTGAATAAGATATAAGGGCTGCCTTTTTAACTGTCTTAGAAAGTAATGAACAACGGACAACATATCAGCGGCTACGAAGACTACGGCAAAAAGCGCAGTTTGGCACTGCACATACGGGTTCAGTTAGAGCTAATTACAATTCTGGAATCGACGTTTGTGTGAAAAAAGCCCACAAACGCCAAGAAACGCACTTCCCGACAACATCTAACCTCATGTTTCATTACAAACAGACCAACTCAAGCCGTATCACAGAGTGGGTCAAAACCTATAAAAAGGCCGCAGACGGTCAAACAAAATTTCATTCGGTCCGCCGGTAAGGGGCAATCGACTGTCGTAAGGATTTACCGTACTGACATTGCAGGTTCTAGCTAAAAGCCCAGTCATGCGTGTCCCATTGATATTGTGCCACTACATGACGTAGCGGCGGGGAGTTCGGTTCGGGTTCTCAAACGGCCTGTGTGATCTAGCTGATGTGGGAGCGGACTGAGTGAAGACATAAAGTACTGCGGAATGACTATCTGAGACCTCATTCGTCGTTTTAAAATCAGGCGAACCCACACAGAAATCTCAGCCAGATATTCCAAATTCGACTCTGGGCACTCGCATTTATTGCCAAGGTCGTTTGTAGTGTCATGATGTCAGTGTCGAAAATGCAACAAA